ACCGGTTTGGCTCAGTGGATAGAGCGTCAGCCTGCGGACTGAAGGGTCCCAGGTTCGATTCCGGTCAAGGGCATGTACCTGGGTTGCGGGCACATCCCCAGTAGCGGGTGTGCAGGAGGCAGCTGATCAATGTTTCTCTCTCATCGATGTTTCTAACTCTCTATCCTTCTCCCTTCTTCTCTGTGAAAAAAATCAATAAAAACATATTTTAAAAAAAATAAATAAACTGGGTCTCATAGCTAAGAAAAATAAGGCTGGTGAATTGCTCTCCGGGTCTTTCACTATCCCAGCTATTTTCCTTTTAAAAAAATATTTTTTTATTGGTTTCAGAGAGGAAGGGAGAGGGAGAGAGAAACATCCACGATGAGAGAGAACCAAGGATCGGCTGCCTCCTGCACGCCCCACACTGGGGATGGAGCCCGCAACCTGGTCATATGCTCCGACCGGGAATCGAACCCTGACCTCCCGTTTCATAGGATGATGCTCAACCACGGAGCCACGCCGGACGGGGGTTAACCTTTTCCATCTCATGGCACAAATTAATTCCTAAAATCCGGAGGCAGAGCACAAACCGTGTTTCTGGGCGATCTGACAAGAGAAGGTCCTTGTGAGCCACTCCCACCGGACAGCAGCTGCTGCTGCTGAGCTCAGACCCCGGCTCCGGCCCTTCGTGGCCACGTGACCTGGAGGAAACGGCCCACCTTCGCTGAGCTGAGCCCCAGTTGGCGTGGGGGGCAGGGGATAGCAGAGCCCTGGGCCTGGGGTCGCTATGACAACGAGGTAAACGAACACAAGCCGCCGCCAGCACAGGGCGATCAAAGGGAAACGCGGAGGAAGAGGTGCCTGCGGATCTTCACAGACGCCTGGCAGCGCAGCTGGAGCCTGAGCTCCGACAGCAGCCGAGGAATTCCACTCCGGGCGGGTCTCTGCCGCCCCCTCGTGGACATCCGGCTCCATTTCTAAGTGACACCCCTAGACGGGGAGGCCAGGGCCAGAGGCCTAAGGGCTCTCACCCGCCTCCTCTGGGCGGGCGGTGGCGCCATTCTGACGGCCTCTCTGGACTCACACCCCCTCTGGGTTCAAACTGCATGAGAAACAACAGCCAGGAGGTGGCCCATGAACACGGCCCGGTCAGCTCCCCACCCTGCAGGGCAAACTCCCACCCAGAGACAGAACTGAGGGAGCGACCAGAACCAGGGGAGACGGACGCTGCGAGGCGCACCCTCCCCCCACACACGTGTGCACACGCACACACACCAGGGGAGACAGACGTTCCACGGTGCACACGCACGTGCGCACGCGCGCGCACACACAAAGACACTGCAAGGCCAACACACACACACACACACAACCAGGGGAGACAGACGTTCCAAGGTGCACACGCACGTGCACACACACAAAGACACTGCAAGGCGCGCGCACACACACACACACACACACACACCAGGGGAGACAGACGTTCCAAGGTGCACACGCACGTGCACACACACAAAGACACTGCAAGGCGCGCGCACACACACACACACACACACACACCAGGGGAGACAGACGTTCCAAGGTGCACACGCACGTGCACACACACAAAGACACTGCAAGGCGCGCGCACACACACACACACACACACACACCAGGGGAGACAGACGTTCCAAGGTGCACACGCACGTGCACACACACAAAGACACTGCAAGGCGCGCGCACACACACACACACACACACACACCAGGGGAGACAGACGTTCCAAGGTGCACACGCACGTGCACACACACAAAGACACTGCAAGGCGCGCGCACACACACACACACACACACACACACGCGCGCACACGCACACACACACGCACACACGGCGCACGGGAGCTCCTGCAGGGACAACAGGCGGCAGCGGCAGGGAGAGACCTGGGACCACAGCACCTTCTGAGCACGTACGTGTGTTATTTTGTTAAAATCACAATGGACGGTGTTTACAAACGACTGCAGCTCTTAAAAATGGCACCTGTGTGTAACCCTGTCCCTCCCACCCAGGGCGGCTCCGACAGGAACGGGAATCAGACACCAGCGGGGAGGGCGCCGTGAGGACCACACACACATGTAGGCACTTCATCAGACACGCACACACACACGCACACACGGCGCACGGGAGCTCCTGCAGGGACAACAGGCGGCAGCGGCAGGGAGAGACCTGGGACCACAGCACCTTCTGAGCACGGACGTGTGTTATTTTGTTAAAATCACAATGGACGGTGTTTACAAACGACTGCAGCTCTTAAAAATGGCACCTGTGTGTAAACCCCGCCCCTCCCACCCAGGGCAGCTCCGTCAGGAACGGGAATCAGACACCAGCGGGGAGGGCACCGTGAGGACCACACACACATGTAGGCACTTCATCAGACACACGTATACACATGGAGGAGGGGTGGGGCCCCTGGGCCGCCGGTTCCCGAGTGACCTGGCAGACAGCCAGCGCTGGGGCTTCCTGAATAAGGGACAGACAGGACCCTGACCGCAGGGCCCCCCAGCAGCGGGCAGAGACCCAGAGTCCCTCTAACCGAGGAGGGAGCCCCGGGAATCCCAGATGCGTGGGACCCCGAGGGACCGGATTTCCCGTCTACGCAGTTCCTGCAGGGGTGGGGGGTGCACACGTCCTGGTGGCCCGTGGCGTGTGTTCACTTCAGTCACGAAGCGACGTTTCTGTGGTGCGAAGAGGCCGATTCAATGATGTCAGGTCTTAGCGTGTCTGCCTAGAACCCAGCATCCTTCTCTCTCAAAATCAACGCACAAAACCCAAAGCACAGACACGAGACCGGAGCAGGGCCACGGGGGGCGGAGACGGCGGTCAGGGGCTCCCCTCCATGTAAGTGGGAAAAGCCACCGTCCGGCTTCCATCGAACTCGACTTCACAGGAAACCTGAACTGGGCCGTGTCCAACGAGAATGCGAAAGCCGTCTTCGTCCCTCAGCCTTTCCAACAGGGATTCTTATCTGC